ATTATGCTCTCCTTATTTCACGGCTGAATATTGGAGAGCTGCGTTCGCTGAGACTATATTTCCCCTACCGAACGAATCCGATTGGGAAGTTCCTGACGATATTCTCTCACTTAATAGTTTGTTGCCACTGGTAGTTGAACCGCGTGGCCATGGGCGTTTACGAACTTCTAGAATACCCTATACAGGAGAGTTTCCACGATCGCATCGGTGTGGCAGATGTAGAGCAGTCGATCATACTCGCTAAGCTTCTACGAGTCAGATTCTCTTGGATGGCAATTAGTCGAGTATGTAATGGTATTGCTGTAATTTGCTAATTTGATACAATTGAATATTTAATTTTGATAATTACCAAATTTTGATACAAGTATTAAATAAATGAATCAACAATTAAATCTACAATGTTTACGGATCACACTCGAATTCGTACAAATCACACGCTAATTTATTCATCCAAATTTGTATTCATGCTTAGTTGATTACATCAACCTTATGTCGATACTCAAAAATTCAATGTACTTTATTGCAAAAATGCAGCAATCGCCCCTACAATTGAACGTGTTAGATAAAATTTAAGTTTCCAAGTTAAAAACAAAATATAAATACTTACGATCTCGACTGTCTCGCTGTCGTCTAATCCTGCACGATAGCTAGCATGTCATTAATAATAACACCCGTTAGGGGAATGATCGCTGCAAGCGGTTCCAACTGCTGCTCGAGCTTGCCCGTGTCGACATGAATGGTCGGAGTCGTACGCATACATCGTGGAGTCAGCAAAAACATTCTCCACGACAATGGTATGATGATTCACGATCGCTGGAACATATATATGTGTACAAGCCTCCCGTGCCTTTCCCCCAAACCTCGGCAACATCCCTACGACCCATTCGGCCATATATTCAGGCAGCACGTACTCACTACCCATACGTTGCAGCGACTGATGCTCAATGGTAACAGCACCGAAAAACTCAATGCTCAGTATGAGTCGATCGGGCATGTCGAATGATCTTGCATATCGTCGAGCTCGATCTCGCAATATCTTCATGGCCAGGTCGATGTGCTACATCAGGAAACACCAATAAAAAACATAGAGAGCTATTTCATTTCATAAACAAAAAATAATGTATACATAATAAACAAACAATATGATTATTTCACTTACATTGTAGGCGAGCCACGTCCCCGAAGTGGTGATGTCGTGAAACCACTTATAGGCATCCGAGATCGTCCTCTCCCCAACGATGCGGTTATGTCTGGAAAAAAAAAAGAAAAAATGTTAAAAAAAGATATAGATGAGTTAGCGTAGCGTACTTCGTTAAAATTCTAAAATACTTACCGGCTTAATTATCCTCCACTCCGTCTCGAATGCTTTCTAAAATTCTAAAATCTAATATTTATTATTTAATAATTACAATTAATTATTTATTTATATAATTTTTATTCAATTACGTAAAATATTTAATTCTATAAATATCTATTTTATATTCAATTTATTCAATTACTAATAAAATTTAAAGGGCAAAATAAGAAGTTGCTAATTTGTTAAAATATAATATTTAATAATTACAATTATTTATTTAATTATATTAGTAATTAACAAATTAAAATTAATTATTTAATTATATATTTTTTATTCCATTACGTAAAATATTTAATTCTATGAGTATCTATTTCATATTCGATTTATTCAAGTACGTAAAATATTTAATTATATAAAATTTTATTTAATATTCAATTATTTATTTAATTATATTAAATTTAATGAAATGTGTAAAATATTTAATTATATTAATTTTAATCGGCCCAACTGACAATCGGCCCAGACCATATTACACTAGAACAAGCTTTTAACAACCGGTTTCTAGACCGACTGTTAAAAGTCGGTTCGACCGGCTGTTAACAACTTGTTCCTTTTGTTGAAATCGACTGTTATCAGCCGGTTCGACAGGCGACCAGGCTGCAAACAGACAGTAGCGGGACCAACTGTTTACAGTCGGCTACTTCGCCGAAAATAGTTGAAAATCGCCATTTTCGGCGAAGTAAAGCTCAAAAATGAGCCAAACACACCCTAAAACACCAAAATTTCCCCCCTAAGACTAACACTCAAGCAGATCTACGCATATATGATTCAATAAACTCAAAAAATGTGTAAATAATTGAAACACAATATATGAAAAAATAAGGGCGTCGGTAACGGTTGTTTGTCGCTGTGGTGGCTGGATTCGTCTTTCAAAGTTGTCGATTTTTGGGAATTGTTGGAGACGATTTTCACGTTTTTAGTCTGTGAGGGTTTTTCTTCTCTTTCAATGAGGGGTATTTTTGCCTTTTAGGTGTTTAAAATTAGGTTTTGATTTTTTTTTTTTAATTCTATTTCTTGGTCAAATGCCAAACTTGAATTATGACATTTTTTACAGGCTATTCACACGTATTTCCTCGGATAGGGTTCGTTTGGTGGAGCGTCCAAGGTTATTGTGACATTCTACCTACCATATTAGTATGTAAAAAAAAGAATGAGATTGTCTGAAAGAGATTATCTAGCTCGACAGTGCATAAATGGGATTTACGAATTGGTGTTTCAGTATCATTGAACTTTACTCAAACTCGATAAAACGAATAGGATAGTATTCAACTACATAAGAAGATAAGGCTAAAAATATGGGTTCGCTCAACTTTGAGTGAAGATCATTTTAGTAATTTAGATTTATTTTGTTCAAAATTCATCACTTAAGTTTGAATTTTGTCACATATACGATTTTGTCACAATGTTTAACGCTTTCTTCTCCGTGGTTATCATCTTATATTGAGAAGTTTGGACTCAATCGCTCTAAATAATATAGTCTAGGGACCAAAGGTGCAAAGTTCCCTTTATTAAACAACTTTTTCAGCGGACGATTACAAATTATCTAATCTAGGGTTTCATTAGATTCTCTCGGTCTCCCACAATCACTGTTTAAGAGGAGCGCATCGGTAATCAATCATCAGCAAATAATCATGACTGGGAAGGCTAAGCCGAAGAAGCACACAGCAAAGGAATTAGCGGCTAAGTTGGACGCTGCAACCACCAACCGCGGCGGAGGTAAGGCGGGGCTAGCTGACCGCTCTGGTCATGAAAAGGGCGGTCATGCCAAGTTGGAGTGCCCGCTCTGCAAGGTTACCGCACCCGACATCAAATCTATGCAGATTCACCATGACGCCCGCCACCCCAAGATCCCGTTCGACGAGTCTAAGCTCAACAACCTCCACTCTGTCACCGTCGCCGAAACCTCCAAGCCCAAGCCCGGCGTTCGCGGCAGCTTGAAGAAGTGAATTTGCTCCTCCTGCTACTACTCTTTTATGCAATATAATGCTAGTATTGTTGATCTTTTACAGTCTTATTATGAATACTGTGATTTTCAATAATGGATATATTGTGAACGACCTGCTACTACGGCTCTGTGTTGTTCTAATAGTCTATTCTGGCGTTTGTTATTATGAATTTGATGTCAAATTATTTTATGTTGATGAAATTATTATTATTCCTCTATGCGCTTTTTTATTTAACTATTATCTTTTGGGGGGAGAACTCAGTTTTTATTTACTACGTTAACAGGGGAAGCCAATGTTGTTATAAAGTTGAACTTTTGATAGGGTGAAAGTGATAACTGAAAATTCGCTATCAGGTTAATATTTCTTTTTGCTATTATTGCTGCTATAGCATGTAAATTTCAACTTTTGGATATATGGGTAGGGCTATTTTCAGGTTTATTAATTGAAGTTGTCTTCAACTTTGATTTCCTGTTACTGTTAATAATGCTAATGCATGTGTTATCGTTGCAACATATTATGGTAATCTTGTTTACACATGTTAATTCATGGTTTAAAAAGGCTGGTTTTGATGTCAGGGTCTATTGTAGTTAAACTTTGCAGGTCGGTTATGATTGAGAGTTCTGTGACTTAGTTCAAAAAAATAAGAACACAGAAGAAAAAGACTTAGGAGGATTGATTGTTTGTGAGAATAGTGTTTTTGATTCCCGTTCTGCTTATTTTCCAATTATTTTTCATACACGTGTCATGGGGCATATAATACCAGCATTTACTAACTAGGGTTATAATTTATTTTACTTGTAACATGTTTACACCTATGCTGTAACATGCTTACACACCAGCATAATAGAAGATATTTGGTGTTCTAGGCACACACAGCCTTTAATACTGTTGATGCATTTTCCACCGCCTGGATTCAGTAATGTATTTGATTGATACTTGATACTCTTATTTCAGTTTCCAAGGCTGTTTAATTTGAGGATGACTATATGTCCGTGTTCTCTCGAATGAGTATACTTTTAATTGTGAGTTTGAACTTGCTGGATGCAACGAGGTCATGGTGGACCATGTCACTCTTTTTACAAATGCTATGATTTTTTAAAATGATTCAAGATCTCTGTTGAGGCAGGTGGTGTATTTTCAGGCCTTCTATGTAGCCACATCTGAAAAGAATATTAGCCTCCGTTTGGCAAAATTTATAAATATTTATATATGGTTGAACTTTATTTTCAACCACATATTCAAATGTTTCCACAAGTGCATATTCAAATGGATCACAAGTAGTATCCTCTTATCCACTAGTCATTTCTATATATTTATAAACAAAACCGTTTAAAAATTCTTTGCAAAAAGACTTGGTGAAAGCAAATTTTTCTTTGCTCCTTCACAGCAACTGATCAGGAGCAGATCAATTATTTAGGCTATCCCATTTACACAGGAAACTAAAAGGCTACATTTTTAAACATGTTTCCAGTTAAAAAACAAGTGGGAAAATCGCCAGATAGTTTAATAAACTTGTCTTAGCTGGTAGTATAATAATTTTGATAGAACTTGTGTCTTCTTTATGCCTCTTCACCTCCCTTCGAATGCTGCAACCAATTCGTGTGTTATAATTGTAGAATTGAGAAGTTGCTTTCATGATTTTTTGTGGTGGATATCTGGTAAAGAAATTCCATTGACTTTTCTGGAGAAAGCTACGTTTTCATACAGAGAAATGGTGATTGGTTTTAGAAGATTTGAGGGATTTTAAGGAGGCTCGAGTGTTGAGCTGTGGTTGAACTTCAGAACCTGTAACTCTGTTGTTCTTTCCCATGCAAGTCAGTAAATGCAGCCCTGAAATTTGAAAAATACAATTCCTTTATCAGGGGCTTGGCGAAAGCCCCTATGAATAATGCACGTTGCTGATGAAGAACATGTAAATGCATTTTGGAAAGGGGGATGTCTTCTTTTTTTTCTTTCTTCTTCTTCTTCTTGTTTTTTTTTTTTTTT